TGTCCAAATTGAAGCCCTGGAAGTTGTCTTTCCAATGGAACCAGCCTTGCATCAAAATTACAATTGTGAAAAAAGTTATGCCGGTTTTAGTGAAACCGCGCAGTTTTGGTCCTACCCGGATTCATGCCGAACTTCTCCCAAACTAGTTTTCTTCTCTCTTTTCCTCTTTTCTTCAACTCCAAACCCCTAAACAATATGTTTTGAAATATTTTTCAAATATTTCATCTCTCTTTCATTCATTTCTACTTTGTTCTTGCTCGGTTTACCGAAAAGCGCGACATTTAACAAAATGCGAGTGTCGGAACATCGTAGAAACTTTATTTTCAAAACATTTGAAAGAGAGGGTTTCAAGGTCTAAAATATTTTAATCAAGATTGTTTTGGTCCAAAAGGGGTATGAAGTTGAGATTTGTTTCTCTCATTGCCGAAGAAACTGAACTTTTGCCCTGCACACATTTCTCCACCAAGTAAACCGTCAGTAGTGCCCAAGTCTTAAGGGCGGTCAAAAATAGGGTGTCTACAAGCGTACAGACGCATGCCGACTTTGTAGGCGGTGTACAGCCCCTTCACCGCCCCATGAATACCTTCTCGAAACACTTCAAAATCTCGTCGTCCAACCATCGATTGTTGGACTTCCGATGGAAAGATCTGTTGAGCGAACTCGACCGCTACACTCGGATCATTGACGATGGAATCTGCCTCAGTCATCGGTTTATTCCCCATGAACACCGCAAAACTCAATGGTCGTGGCGTCGCGTCTGACTCATTCCTCGGTTGTGGTCGCGGGGAGCTTCCCCGTTGATGCTTCTCTCTTCGGGGTGATCTGCTTCGACTGCTTGAAGGTTGACATTTTTTGCTTTCCTTGGACGTCCTTCCTCCCGCACGCGCAGGCTTGTTCCTGGGATTCATCGCAGTATCTAGCTTAGCCAGCGTTCGTCCCTCTCCTCTGCTGTTAAAGAATAGTCTATTTGACATTCGCCCCTCGCCCTAAGCTAGTTCAAATCGAGTCTGATTAAGAAAAAGTGGACCCATTGGCGCAAACTCACCCCATTTATTCGTAGGTATGCAGCGACCCCGAGGCAATTTCATTAACGCTTTTGGCAGTCTCCAAACGACGGATGCCGATTGATATGTGCCACAGCCACTTCATGCACTGATTTTTGGCTTGTTAAAACGGCCTAATTATCTAAATTATGGGAGAATGCCTTGAAGTCCATGCACTGACTGGGGCAAGGGCATATTTATTAATTTAACCGGCCGAGCATCTTGGCCCCATGCCAATTGATATGTGCCACAGCCACTTCATGCACTAATTTTTGGCTTGTTCAAACGGCCTAATTATCTAAACGGTAATTATGGGAGAATGCCTTGATGTCCATGCACTGACTGGGGCAAGGGCAGATTTATTAATCTAATCGGCCGAGCATCTTGGCCCCATGCCGATTGATATGTGCCACAGCCACTTCATGCACTAATTTTTGGCTTGTTAAAACGGCCTAATTATCTAAACGGCAATTATAGGAGAATGCCTTGAAGTCCATGCACTGGCTGGGGCAATGGCAGATTTATTAATCTAACCAGCCGAACATCTTGGCCCCATGCCAATTGGTACGTGCCACAGCCACTTCATGTACTGATTTTTGGCTTTTTAAACGGCCTAGCTATCTAAACGGCCTAATCATCTAGTCGGCAAGTATACAAAACGTTTTATCCAAAACAGCAACCAAACAATTGCGTTCATTAGTAACAGTAAAGTACAAAATGAATTTTCATTAAGTAAATTGGGCACAAATTGTTACCATTTTACATATGAAAATTACTAAACAAAAAGCTGTAAAAAGCTGAAAATTACATGCAAATCCTAAAACAAAAACAAGAGCCGCCCAAATTAGCCCTCGAAGTCAGACTCTAGCGGCTCAACATCCATTTGCTCGTATGGAATTGGCGTAGCCAATGTCATATCAGCAGCAGCAAGGGCTTTGAGCCAGTCGTGTTTAAATTCCCGATTCTCTAATTTGGGGACTTCGTCTACATATTCATCAAAAGAAGATTTTCTCCCAGCATCGAATGCACTGGAAGCCTTTAGGTCGGTTGTTTCCTTCGCCGCCTTCATCTCTTCCAACCCAACCTCCAATTTAGAGATCGCCTCCTGGGCCAATTTAAGTGCGTCGTCGCTCGCATCCGCCCTTTTCTCGGCGATTGATCTCAATTCTTCAGCATTGCAGGCTCTTTCCATCTCGGCCTTGGCACGGGCGCCCTCCGTCTGCGCCCTACTCCATTGGCCCTCAACCTCCGCTTGTAAACGACCAATTAGCTTGACGACATCGTGATAGCGACGACCCATGTCGGCTATCCTTCCGACGGCCTACAAAATAGGAAGTTAAGAACAAAATAATATTTGCGTAAAGAGAAAAGACAAAGTCCAGATATATACCAAAAGAGTTGATTGCGTGGCCAGCACAATTGCAACCAGATCAGGCTCTGCCTGAAAAGCCGCCTTGTCAGCAGGCAGTGAAATGGACGTCGCCAAGCTGAGTGCAACCGCTAGATCTTTGATTATCGAAGCAGTGGAGGAGATTGGCGTATTTTTTTATCTTGGGCTGAATAACAAAAGGTACAATCACATCCGATTCCTCCAAATGAGGTCGTTTGTCGGCACGATCTTCTTCTGAGCCGGCCTCGACATCGGCAGAGCACTTCTCCACCCTTTGCTCAACTTCTACACTTGCCTGCACAAAAGGTTCCACCTCGGTACTTTTGTTCTTTTCTTTTCCCTCAATAACAGGCAAGGAGGACTGGGACTGAGATTTGGCTGCCCGAATCTCCTCCGCCCTTCGCCGCGCGGCCATCCTTTCCGCGTTCGCCTTCTTGGCAAGTTTAGTGAGGCTCACCCCAGCCATATCTTCTGGGAGCGCATCGGGAAGGTCCTCCAGACCGTGAAAAATATCGTCAAGCGGATGGTCCTCTCTGCCCGAAGTGGACGGAGGATCAGCCGAATTGAGGCCGGCGTTTTCAAATGCTAACTTCAAAGCCTTATCAACCTTAATTTTAGATTGGTTTGACTCGGTAGCCTCAGCTACTTTTGGTCGCTTCGAATCTGATCCCTCGCAACCGACTTCCCTCAAATTTCTGAAATTAGTCAAGATAAGGGCGATAAGAAACTCCTCACCCTTCGGAATTGGGATGTTTTTCGCCGCCGAAAAGGTCGTATAAGTCGGCTTGTAGTGGAGCAGAACGTGGGCCGCCCTCCCCTGCGTCAGAAGACTCGGTCGGCTGAAATACTTGAGCGCAGTCTTGATTTTCGAAAGGACGGCGTCGTCGGTCGAGGTCAAGACTTTCTTCAAAGCGTTTCCTGCAAAAGCAAAACCATGAGGTCCCGAAAATAAAGTTTATAAATATAACAAGTAAGTAAATGAAAGAAGATACTCGGCCACCTGGTTCGCCCCTCTGTCTAGGAATAAGATCAAGGCGATCCTCGCCTTTGCCGAATTCCCAATTTCCTTGGACGACGACCATAACATCATCGACTCGCTTCCCAAAGCTGGAAAGCATAGTCACTAGTTGATGGTCGGTGTCTTTGGCCTTAAGGAAATAGTGCTCGTGCCGACCAGAAGACTTGGCCAAGGCGTAGCAATGCCGAATAGCGGGAATGCCAAGGTTAAGCCCAAGGCGGCGGTTTAGTGCAATAATCCCCATCACGATCCTAAAGAAGTTGACGTTGGGTTGGGAAGGGATTAACCCCCAATGGCAAAACACGGCCCTAAGGAGTGGGTGAAAGGGAAAACGGACCCCACCTTCTGTGATTGATAGAAGAGGGAAGATGATCATGGTTTCATCAACCCTCTCCGTATCGAGGGTGCCGTCTGCCACAAGTGACAGACGGACGTCATCAGGAATGGAAAAATGGCGTCGGAAGCCAGAAATTTGATCCGGTGAGAGGAGATCTTTTAAATGTTTCGCCATTCCCCCCAGCCAATAGGATTATGCTAAGCCAAAAAACAAAGCAGAAAATGAGAGAACTTACAAGAGGCGAAGGAGATAGAGAAGAGTAGGAAGTTGCAGAGGTAGTTCGGAAGGCAGCCCAGCGACGAGCGTCTAAAAGCGTGTATGCATTTGAAAAGACGTCGAAATTTTAAATCAAAATAAATAGAAGTATACGAAGAGGCGAGAAGTTGAAATGATAACCGTGAAGCGTGTGTACAGACATTTGCATTAGAATACAGTGAGCTGCCGAATTTTGGCTCTGACTCTTCGAGTTCGAAGCCAAACACTCCAGCCAACTATCGTTAGTGGAGCGCTTGGGGGGCAATTGTGGGGGCCGAGAATTGGGAGTCTTAGAGATTCGGGATAGTCGAATCTAGAAGAGTCGAGATTTGAAGCACTCGGCAATTGGCTCGAAAGCTCAAATCCAACCCTACTCGGCCAAATAACCGATTAAGCAAGGGGCCAAGTGAAGATCGGTCTATTATAAAATGTGCCGAATATGAGGTGGGAAATGGATCTAATCTCGTGGCCCAAAGAAGAAAAGATATAAATAGAAGAAACATCAACCAGAAGGAGGTATGTGAGAATTGTTGTGCTAAACTTAGAATACAAGCATTCTTGAGCGTTGAGACTAACTTGTCTGTCGGAGTGCTAATTCTGGAACCCCCGACCGGAGTGTTTATTTCTTTTCAGGTGACTAGAAGAGGATCACGAGCGTTCCCCAAGATCAGAAGAGTATTTCCAAACCACTTCTCCACAGAAACTAGGATGCAATTGAGTGTCAAAGAAGAGAAAAAAAAGCTAAGGTTGTTGCTGAAAAATTGCAAGCTTCTCTAAAGGAAGAACTTGAGAAGGCTGAGCAGAGAAAATCAGTGCCAACCAGAGGGTAATGTCAATCTACAAAAGATCCATGTGTTCTTTTTAGAATATTCATTTCAATATAATATTGCTTATCATGTTTATTAGAATACATTTCTTTTTAGAATATTCATTTCAATATATTATTGCTTAGTAAGTATGTATATCGGTATACATTTCTGGAATTTGCAGGTGACATCACTAAATGATGTGGGCTTTACTGTGCTCTGATATCTTCTCTATGGGTTTGCAGTTAGATCTGCAAACTTCATTGCGCGCAAACAATGGGTTGTTACTGGTGCTGATGACATGTTTATTCGTGTTTACAACTACAATACAATGGATAAGGTCAAAGTATTTGAGGCGCACACGGATTACATTAGGTGTGTGGCTGTTCATCCTACGCTTCCATATGTGCTGTCATCGTCTGATGACATGCTTATAAAGTTTTGGGATTGGGAGAAGGGCTGGGTGTGTACTCAAATTTTTGAGGGTCATTCTCATTATGTTATGCAAGTGACATTTAATTCGAAAGACACCAACACATTTGTAAGTGCATCACTTGATCGCACTATAAAGGTATGAATTGGATTGTCTATTACTAACTTGTTAACTACAATTTCATATAATTTGGTATAAAGCACATGCACACATTGATAAATTTGTTTTTGTTTTCTCTTTTTTCTTTTTTCAGATTTGGAATCTTGGCTCTCCTGACCCAAATTTTACATTGGATGCCCATTTGAAAGGGGTAAATTGTGTTGATTACTTCACATGTGGTGATAAGCCTTATCTTATAACTGGTTCTGATGATCATAATGTAAAGGTTTGCTGCCTGTTTTCCTTTTTCTTCTTCTTCCTTGTTGGGTTCATGTACATGTACAATGTGAAAATATTTTTGGCTATATTCTATGAAAACAGGTGTGGGACTATCAAACCAAAAGTCGTGTCCAGACACTAGACGGGCACACCCACAATGTTTCAGCTATTCGTTTTCACCCTGAACTTCCCATTATAATTACTGGTTCTGAGGATGGTACTGTTTGTATATGCCACATTACCACCAACTTTGCTTGCTAAATATAGCCGGATAATTACCAATCTTATAAATTTCAATTGCAATGTTAATTTTTTTTTATCTTGGTAGCGACACTTTGCAAGGTGCAAATTCCTTTGTAGCTTTTTTGTAAAGATGGAGTTTTTATAGAATAGTGTTCAATTGGTTTGAATTTTTGAAAGTAAAATTATAAAAAATACACCAGCGAACTAAATTTGAGTTTATTTCATTTCATTTCACATAGTAGTTTTTTATTTTTTATGTTTACATTGTTGAAAATATAATAAATTTGAGTTTTTGGTTGTGCTGGTCTTTCTAAACTTTCCGTACTGTTTTCATTGATTTGCAGCCTTGAGAACACGCTGAATTATGGTCTTGAAAGAGTTCTATTGGATATATGAAAGGTTCACGCCGGTGAGTTATGTATTTATTTAGTTTGGTGGGTGGGGGAGGTTGGTGGGGATGATCTCTTTTGTATAGGTTTTGGAGTTCTAGGGACATATTCAGATTCCTTACTAGTGGATTCGTGAGCTTGTTTTGTTCACAACCTTTAATGTGGTTATCCTTTGGATGTCAAAGTCTGGGATTTAAGGCATGAAGGGATAGAAAGAAGTCATGCTTAAATTGTCTAATTAACCAATAATTAAAGTTGGAAGTAGTTGTGGTTGAATTGAGTTATTGCTTTTATTGAATAGAATATTGCAATTTCAAGGAAGAAAATTGAACTACTCTTGCTAAATTTGTTGAATGTATCCTTGAATGTGTTTAACACTTCTCTTTCTGCAACTTCGTTTTCTATTGCCGTTGTATTCTCTGGACGAGGTTGTAATTGGTTATGATGAAGGAACCATTATGGTAAAAATTGGTCGAGAGGAACCTGTAGCTAGTATGGACAATAGTGGAAAAATCATATGGGCTAAGCACAATGAAATTCAGACTGTTAATATTAGGAGTGTTGGTGCGGATTATGAGGTTTGATTCAATTTTGTTCTCATCTTTTTTCTGAATAAAACTACAACGATTTCTGCTCAAGGTGATATTGAAATTCACTGTGCTTTTTTCTTCTCAGGTTACTGGTTGAGAAAGATTACCTTTGGTAGTGAAAGAGTTGGGGACCTTTTATCTTTACCCACAAGTGAGTTGGCCTTCTTTGGATGTAGTACATATTATTTGATATGTTGTGTGATGATTTAAATTTTCACACTAATGAGCTGGCCTTCTTTTTGAAGTAACACTTCTGCTATAATTTTCTGATTGAAATACTAAAGCATGCAAAGATATCTGGTAGAATAACTTCAATAAAGTTCATTAGTGATTCAAGATGTACGAGTTTGTTGCTCATGCTTTAAATGTTTGGCTGCTTCATTTGCTGAATGGACATGGATACCCGCCATGTCTTGTTGTCTAAATAACATAACAAATTTTAAGGGTTTTGCTATGAAACTTTGGTTGAAACGTTGATCTGGCTTGCATAACTTTTATTTGCTTGGCATTACTATTGGGGAAGCATTAGACAATAGATGTGCAACTCCATATCGCCAAAATCGCCAAACGGCGTCGATTTGGCACGAAACTAGGCACACACGACTGCCTAGGCACGAGAGACTTGTAAGAGAAGACGGGACTCCAATCGGGTTCCCGGTTTGGGAGTTAGAGCCGAATTTCACTCTAGGCAAACTAGTTCCTTAAGAAACTTAAATTCGAGGTGTTGACGCCCCAAAATTACCAAACGGCGTCGGTTTGGCATGAAACTTGGCACACACGACCGCCTAGGAACGAGAGACTTGTGGGAGAAGACGGGGCTCGAATCGGGTTCCTGGTTTGGGAGTTAGAACCGGATATCACTCTAGGCAAACTAGTTCCTTAAGAAACTCGAATTCGAGGTGTTGACGCCCCAAAATCACCAAATGACGTCGGATTGGCACGAAACTTGGCACACACAACCGCCTAGGCACGAGAGACTTGTGGGAGAAGATGGGACTCAAATCTGGTTCTCGGATTGGGAGTTAGAGCCGGATTTCACTTTAGGCAAACTAATTCCTTAAGAAACTTGAATTCGAGGTGTTGACACCCCAAAATAACCAAACGACGTTGGTTTAGCACGAAACTTGGCACACACGACCGCCTAGGCACGAGAGACTTGTGGGAGAAGACGGGGCTCGAATCAGGTTCCCGGTTTGGGAGTTAGAGTCGGATTTCGGTCTAAGCTAACGAGTTCCTTAAGAAACTTGAATTCGAGGTGTTGACGCCCCAAAATCACCAAACGGGGTCGGATTGGCCTGAAACTTGGCACACATGGCCGCCTAGGCACGAGAGACTTGTGGGAGAAGACAGGGCTCGAATCGGGTTCTCGGTTTGGGAGTTAGAATCGGATATCACTCTAGGCAAACTAGTTCCTTAAAAAACTTGAATTCGAGGTGTTGACACCCCAAAATCACCAAACTGGGTCGGATTGGCACAAAACTTGACACACATGACCTCCTAGGAACGAGAGACTTGTGGGAAAAGACGGGGCTAAAATCAGGTTCCCGGTTTGGGAGTTAGAGTCGGATATCACTCTAGACAAACTAGTTCCTTAAGAAACGTGAATTCGAGGTGTTGACGCCCCAAAATCATCAAACGGCTTTGGATTGGCACGAAACTTGGCACACATGGCCGCCTAGGCACGAGAGACTTGTGGGAGAAGACAGGGCTCGAATCGGGTTCTCGGTTTGGGAGTTAGAGTCGGATATCACTCTAGGCAAACTAGTTCCTTAAAAAACTTGAATTCGAGGTGTTGACACCCCAAAATCACCAAACGGGGTCGGATTGGCACAAAACTTGACACACACGACCTCCTAGGAACGAGAGACTTGTGGGAGAAGACGGGGCTAAAATCGGGTTCCCGGTTTGGGAGTTAGAGTCGGATATCACTCTAGACAAACTAGTTCCTTAAGAAACTTGAATTCGAGGTGTTGACGCCCCAAAATCATCAAACGGCTTTCGATTGGCACGAAACTTGGCACACACGGCCGCCTAGGCACGAGAGACTTGTGGGGGAAGACGGGGCTTAAATCGGGTTCCCGGTTTGGGAGTTAGAGTCTGATATCACTCTAGGCAAACTAGTTCCTTAAAAAGCTTGAATTCGAGGTGTTGACGCCCCAAAATCACCAAACGGGGTCGGATTGGCATGAAACTTGACACACAGGACTGCCTAGGCACGAGAGACTTGTGGGAGAAGACGGGGTTCGAATTGGGTTCCCGATTTGAGAGTTAGAGTCGGATATCATTCTAGGCAAACTAGTTCCTTAAGAAACTTAAATTCTAGGTGTTGACGCCCCAAAATCACAAAACGTGGTCGGATTGGCACGAAACTTGACACACACGACCGCCTAGGCACGAGAGACTTGTGGGAGAAGAGGGGGCTCGAATCGGGTTCCTGGTTTGAGAGTTAAAGTCGGATATCACTCTAGGCAAACTAGTTCCTTAAGAAACTTGAATTCTAGGTGTTAACGCCCCAAAATCACCAAACGGGGTCGGATTGGCACGAAACTTGACACACACGACTGCCTAGGCACGAGAGACTTGTGGGAGAAGACGGGGTTCGAATTGGGTTCCCGATTTCGGAGTTAGAGTCGGATATCACTCTAGGCAAACTAGTTCTTTAAGAAACTTGAATTTGAGGCGCCCCAAAATCACCGAATGGGTTCGGATTGGTACGAAACTTGACACACACGACCGCCTAGGCATGAGAGACTTGTGGGAGAAGACGGGGCTCGAATCGGGTTCCTGGTTTGGGAGTTAGAGTCAGATATCACTCTAGGCAAACTAGTTCCTTAAGAAACTTGAATTCGAGGTGTTGATGCCCCAAAATCACTAAACGGCTTCGGTTTAGCACGAAACTTGGCACATATGACTGCCTAGGCACGAGAGACTTGTGGGAGAAGACGAGACTCCAATCGGGTTCTCGATTTGGGAGTTAGAGCCGGTTAGACGGGACTCCAAATAAGCACATTATAAATACATTATCCTGTCACAAATAAGCCAATGATCAGTATCTGCTCTAAGTAAATAGAAAACAGTAATATTGAAGCATGCAATCACCTGTTTTCCATGTATATTTTGAAATGAAACAGAGTCCAAACATAATTATTGTATTTTTTATAAATAAAGAAAAAACACTAGTATGAAACATAATGTTCAAGTTTCAAACACCAGAAACAAAACTTTGGCTCTTCATAAATTTGTTGTGTTTTTGATAGTTAAGAATTCAGGAATAAGCATATGAATGCTTTTGAAATTAAAATGTTGTTGTCATGTGAATAGCAATACTGTACAAAATGTACAAATTACAGTGCAATGGATCAGTTGTCATAAGATGAGAAAACAAATCAAATAGGGTGAACTTTCAGGATCTATATCAATGTAAGAGATTTAGCTTAATAATCCACCATATAAGAAAATCCAAACCTGAAGAAGATAGACAGAGATGGGAAGCAATCTATTCATGATCTAATTTTTGCCAACCCATATCTCACATTGTTAAAAGAAATTGTTATAAACTATGACATGTAAGGACATATGTTCTTTCCTCAAAACAATCAGTTTTAATGCCATCAGAGTCGTGAGTCAAAAATAAATAAATAAATATTCCTAGAACCTTTGGCTGCAACAAAAGTATGAATCCTTATTCTGCCAATTTTTTTTTTATATATATAGTAGTTAATTTTTTATGTTTTTATATAATTAAAATATTAACACAATTATATTGTCATTAATTATTTTTATTTAGTAATATTGAAGCATGCAATCACCTGTTTTCCATGTATATTTTGAAATGAAACAGAGTCCAAACATAATTATTATATTTTTTATAAATAAATAAAAAACACTAGTATGATACATAATGTTCAAGTTTCAAACACCAGAAACAAAACTTTGGCTCTTCATAAATTTGTTGTGTTGTTGACAATTAAGAATTCAGGAACAGGTATATGAATGCTTTTGAAATTAATATGTTGTTGTCATGTGAATAGCAATACTGTACAAAATGTACAAATTACAGTGC